TAAATTATATTTTTTATTTAACTGAAATCATGTTAAGACTTGCAATTTTCACTTGTCAAATTTCTTGCTTCATCATTTAAGGCAATTTACAACCCCATAGATGGTGCTTGGCCAGAATTAGATTTCATTTTAAGTAAGCATGTGACAAGGCACTGATTCTATAAGCCTGCTGAAGTTTTACAAAAAAAAAGTGTAATATTTATATGCTTCTCAGGAAAATTGTTTTGTTTATTTGTTGTTAAGCCCAAAGCTACACATTAGGCTATCTGTGCTTTGCCCACCGCGGGCATCGAAACTCGATCTTTTTTTCTAGCGTTATTAGCCCTCATACTTACTACTAATCCACTGGGGGGCCCGAGAGAATTGGACATTACTCCTAAATTCAGTAAGTCTTTGTTTCTCAATTAATCTTTACTATAATCATTACTACATCTCATCAGTTTTCAAGGCAAACTATAATTTTTTTTATATGCAGTAATAAAGTTGATGTACTTGTTGATTAAAACTATCACAAGTTACAATTCGTTGGGAAACTTTGGAGAAAAGGCATGAGGCGTCCTATATCTTCATTTAACTGTATGGAGAAGAACAAAGGCATGAGGTGTCCTAAATCTTCATTTAACTCTATGGAGAAGAACAAAGGCATGAGGTGTCCTAAATCTTCATTTAACTCTATGGAGAAGAACAAAGACATGAGGCGTCCTATATCTTCATTTAACTGTATGGAGAAGAACAAAGGCATGAGGTGTCCTAAATCTTCATTTAACTCTATGGAGAAGAACAAAGACATGAGGTGTCCTAAATCTTCATTTAACTGTATGGAGAAGAACAAAGACATGAGGTGTCCTAAATCTTCATTTAACTCTATGGAGAAGAACAAAGACATGAGGAGTCCTAAATCTTCATTCAGCTCTTTGAGTGTTTGAACATTCCATTTCCTCAGGTCTTAAACATAGCTCTTGAGATAGTTTTTGATTATTCATTCTTATCCGATTGTTCAGAGAAGGTATTCATGACTGTTAATTGGTTGAAAATGTTCCTTTTATGTTTACAATAAAATGCATAATATATTTTTCACTCTTCCGCCTATTTAGTTGAAAATAAACCTTTTTTGTACACTGACTATATTATAATAGCATGATTTGTTTGAGTTGGGTAAAAAAAAAGTGTTTATTTTTGTTTTAATTCCGTGTGTCCACAAATATTTGCAGTTGGATATGTTTACGTGGTGTCTTCAGATAGTGGACATATGGCACAAAGACTAGCGAAGTCCTTGTAGAATCTGGGACTACAGGTGGCAGTGCGTTGTGGTGTTTTTCTGATTTTGTTTTTAACTAATAAACTAGGATGCAGGTGATCTTAATGATCAACTTTCTAGATAGCTGTGCAAGTGTTTTACTGCGTGTATTTAATTCTTAATTCTGTCTTCAACAGATCTTCATGGATGAAAACCTGTCCACCCACACCTTTTTGAAATGTAGTAGTCTTGTCATCTACATTTTATTTACCCCGATGTGTATAAGAGGATTGAGAAGGGTTAGCTTTCACAAATGAGTGAAAAGAGATAGTTCATCTCTGACCGTTCAAGGGGCAACCCCCATTGAGCACCCTTCGTGGACAAACAAACAGCATCCCTAAATAAATGTTTTTTGCAGAGCATTATTCTCACCATCTCAAAAGTGTTATATAGTATATGTGACGGAATATCCCGCCCAAACAAAAGACTCACGCAACACCCTTGACTCTGAAAATTTTATAACCAATTTTTTTTTTTGTTGAGCTTTATGCCTGATATCAGTGATATTAACAACAATCTGTTATTCATTAACCCATCCTGCATCATATAAGTGGATAAATTATCTTGGTTTATTTGTTTTGAATTTCGCGCAAAGCTACACGAGGGTTATCTGCACTGGCCGCCCCTAATTTAGCAGTGTAAGACTAGAGGGAAGGCAGCTAGTCATCAACTCTTAGACTACTCTTTTACCAACGAATAGTGGGATTGACCGTCACATTATAACGCCCCTGCGGCTGAAAGGAAGAGCATGTTTGGTGTGACGGAGATTCGAACCCGCGACCCACAGATTGCGAGTCGAGCGCCCTAACCCCCTGCCCGTGCCCGGCCACTAGTAATATTTATATCTATAGCCAACAGCATATCTGTGTTAATTTTATGTTCGTTACTTGAGATTTTTTTTTCAAACGGTAGTAATTTTGAGTAACTTTTTTGTATTTATAATTTGTTCGTTTTTGGTTTTACTATTTATTTTTACATACCTTTCTTGGTTTTGCCCATTCATTCGTCTGTCTTATTGTTCTAATTTTGTCAGTTTGTTTTCAATTTTACGTCTCATTATTGTACTTTCCTGTATGAATTCTTATGATAATATTAAATAAACTGAAATGTACTGAGAGTTTACTGTAACTGTTTTGGAGGTCAACCCTACAAATTTACCGATCACTGAATTAGATTCATTTGGAATTGACAAATGACTCACAGGTTCACTGAAAAATAAGAACTTGAAATTTCATTGGGAATAAAGACATATTGAAAAAGCTAGGTTTAAAAATTTAAGAAAATAAATATATATACTAACCCTGAAGAACCCGCGAAGTTCTCTTATAATTAGCTGGAGTGTGAAGGACGTTTTTTACTAACATCATTAAGAAAATATTAAGTTTCTTTTTCAATAAAGTAGTCTCGATTCCATTTACGACTACAGTGTTGTTTATCTCTACAAATATTTTATCCCTAACTTCCTGCTAAGGTATAAGTCGTCCTCAATAACTCTTACTTTTATAGTAGAATTATCTATTTCTAGAAATCCTGTATAATTCTTGATTAGCCTAACATCATTCACGCTTTTGAAATAAACACTGGTTTAACACTAGAAAAATACGCCTACTGGCAAAGCATTTTATACATAATTATAGATAATAATTCACATTAATTTGTCTTTCAGAAAAATATAAAGTAAGTTTTAAAACTTATCATAAGAAATAACTTCCAAATTTAAAAGAATACGTGTAATTAACAGAGACTTGTTGTTTAAACTATTATCCTCCGATCCGAACATGATTTGCAAAAGGTTTATTTTCGATCATAATATTGCAAAATCTTAATTTTAGAATCCTTGTGTAATGCTAACTATACTTTGATAAATATTAAATCCCCAGAGTGACTTATAAGTGATGTCTGTTTGTACTATTGACAACACAGGTTCTCATACAAGTTTTGTAGTCTTACATCAAAGCATGTTTATTATTTAGTCATTATTTTTCAAAAATGTTAAACTACCAGCACATTCCAGACACTTTTCTGTATAAAAGATAAAGAACATTTTGTGTTTAAAATATTAATTCCCACCCAAACACTGCCGCTTAATTAGAAGTATTTTCAGGCAACGTTTCTTCCACACCTAAACCAACTTATTGTCAATGAACTTATGCCACATCCCAGCAATGCCTATCAGTTCAATTTGTGTAAAAGTTGTTCATTCACTATCAGCCAAATTGTTCTTTGTAAGAAAGATAAAAGTCTGTCTTGTCACGAGTTGCTAAGTATAATCAAGGGTTTATATATATATATAGACTGAAGAAGATATAGAACACCAAGGAATAAATACAATTTAGGTTTATACTTCTTTATACGATGGCTAGATGTCATTTGTTTCAGAAAATCGCGCAAAGCTACACGAGTGCTTCTACCCTAATTTTGAGCTCTAAGCTAGATGGAAGGAAGCTACTCAACAATGCCCACCCTAAACTCTTTAGCTACTTGTTTTCTGACAGAACAGTAAGATTTGATCGACACTGTTGCTATACACCCGCAGCCACAAAGCAAGGAGCACGTTTTAGTGGCTAGGATTCATCATCCACGAATCGCCAGACGTACAGTCTCTACTTGGAATGCTAATAATTATGCTACACGTAGCCTAGTGAATAAACATGTGTGTGTGTATAAAAGAGAAATGCAAGTGTTTCTCAGTTTCAGAGTTGATAATAATGCAGTCTATTTTCAGATGTTCTATTTATGTTGTAGTATATGATATGACGACCAAGTAGTTGAATCCGGGAGATATGTTTATACACATAAATAGCCAGTATTTGCATTATTCAAAATAGTTCTAAGTGTATAACGCTATTAATATAGATGTTACTTTGTGTCCCAAATTGAAATTTTAGCCAAAAGCCAGATAACCTGAACAAAATGTAGGTTACCCTAAATGTGATTTGATTTACATTTCTTTATTCTGTTTTATCCGAAGAGAGCTGACTTATATTTTTTAAATTTGACATTGTGTTTATTATTTTGTCTGAGAGTTTAAAACAATTTTCCTCATAAAACTGTGGATGTTCAATATTAGAACTTCTCATATTATTTGGAACATATTGTAGTCCAGTGGTAGGTTGATGCGCCCCCCCCCCGTGGCACAGCGGTATGTCTGCGGGCTTACAACACTAGAATCTGGGTTTCGATACCCGTGGTGGGCAGAGCACAGATAGTCCATTGTGTAGTTTTGTGCTTAATTACATACAAACAAATCTTAGGTTGTTACTTAAGAATAAGCACAACGTAATTGTTGTTAACTTAAGCGCGCGTATATTTTTGGTGCTATAATTAACTAAAAACGACCACATTTATCTGTACTAGTCTTACTATTACCCAACATGATCCAATTTACTTCAATTAGTTATCTTTTGTTTATCAAGCAAAGATTCACAGAGAACTCTATCTTACTTTAGATGGACATTAATGATTCCTGAGTAACTGGAACACCACAGGGATATTAGACGCCTTAACTGATTTCTTTGTTCTCAATGTCGCTTATGAATAGCAAATTAAGATTCAGACTCAATAATGGAAAAAAAAGCAAATTCTTCATTGACTAAAATAGGTTTACAATTTGAAATGGCAAATTCGTTCTGTGTTTACAAAGAACTATTTCTCTTTGGTAAAATGTAAATAATAGTGATTATTTTTATAGAAAATCCTGGGCAATAAATTCAAAATGATTTTAATGTCAAAATCATTGATCAGCTTAATGTTCCGCAAGTACAGTGTACTGAATACTGGAAATACATTTAAAGATTGTAATAACATCATAATCATAGGTCAAATCAAGTACTATATCATCACAATAACCATAACATTAGAATTGTTTCTCAGTTTATTAAAATATTCTTTCAACATAGTGACCACAATATTAATCATTACACTTTCTTACACATTTCTTATGCAACTTGCAAGATATTGGCGGATTATTAAGAGCTTTCTTAGTCCAGCAACATTAATAACCTAATCGCATGCCTTTATTTTTTTAGAAACACTTGCAGGAAAATTTGCATCATAGTATATCATAATCGTTGTTCAAAATGAAAGAGATACATTTCAGAACAATATAGTCAACACAATTAACAATGACCAGTTTTTACACTCTTAAAAAACTGTGGGTTTACACTTTTGTGAGTGTGAAGTACTGATACAGAGAGTTATACCCCAAAAAGTATGAATTGGCACCCTTCGTTGGAAAAGACAATTTTACGCCAACAGTAAAATGATGAAATAATAAATATTAATATTTTTAAGAAGCCCTACTTCATACTAGTAAACTTACTTGTAAATCTATAATGTCTTCTAAGAGTATGTTCATAAAACTTTATTGTACTCATAAAATTATCTAAATGTAAGTGATCCTGTTTACAGTTTTTATTTTCAATTTTCACATACCATTTTCATGACTTTCCGTTCTTTTTATAAATGAACACTTTCAAATGCATAGCAGAAGTGTGAACTTATATTTATTACAACTTTAAGGGTGTGAATTTCCATTTTATGAACACTAAGAGGTGTGTGTTTGTTTGAAAAATATTTTCATTTACATATATATGAAAGACCGTTACTTTTATTCTAATGAACCTCTTAGAGCACAATTATATATATAAATATTTTAGTATTCTTATTCTGAGTGTTCATTTCCAAATTCTTAAAAACAACTCAAATGGAAATATTATATGCCCCAAGAACAAAGATAATTAAACTTGCTCTAGAAGCCATCTGACGCACCTCCTTTTCTATAATCGGCATTAGCGTACAACGTTCCACTTTTTTTACGGGCAATTCCCATAATGAACGAGCTACGCCCAGAAATCTCTGTAACGTTGTGTCCCTTTCTCTTTAGTCCTTCCAATAGTTCCTATTCAATATATACACATAATAACAAAGTTTTTACGAGTCTAGTTAAGAAAAAGGTTTGATGAAAGTGCAACAAAAAGATTAAAATTCTCTTTAAAGGAAGATTTCAAAGGTTAAATCATCAAAATATTTGGTTAAACTTTATTTACTTCATGTGTAAAGATCTTGAATATAAGGAACATAACGTATAAGGAAATTTACGTAAGTTTATTGAAAGTCAAAACGACTTTAAAATTTAAACTGATATTGCATGTTTGGGTTTATAATATGTAATTAGACTCCTGATTATTGTTTATACCTAGCAAACCAGAAAATTTTAACGTTTTGGTCAAAACATTAAAAATGCACTATCATAAATCCAGCTGAAAATATACTACAGCAGTCTTAAGTTTTAAACTGTCTTAGTTGGTAAACCATATTCCCTTTAGTAACAGGTTAGATTAAACTTCACACTTCATGTAATCACTTCATATTTAATTTCTAAAAGAAAGGTAAGCACAATTGAAGCTCCAGAATTATCCGAATGAATGAATCACATATATTATGTTAAAGAAAAATTCAGGCTGTTGAAAGAAGCAATGTTTTGATCGTTTTCCTAAGCAGTGACAGGATGATAATAACTCTAAATAAACTGTATGTCAGCATGTCTTTCATATGATAATATTGTGTAGAAATTAATATGAGCAATGAATCATGTTATATACGAAGTAAACTAAATAGTGCAATGAGCTTCAACCACATTTGATAATTTATTGTGAACTGATAGTGCAGATCTTTTCCAATTCCTGATGACGATCTAGCCTAGCAATTCGAAAATTCAACAAAATATTTCAGTGAATGAAGCTGGATGCACTATTATAATATTTGAGAGGTGAATGAAGGCAGTTTAATTTAATTTATTTTATGCATAGCATTTCTTAATCTTTTATTGTTAAATTGATTAATATGTCTTCAGCCAAGTTATTTTATTTGTATAACAATAAATATGTTTATTTCCTTTGAATATTCTAGCAATGTCATCTGAGAACGCCTTGCGTCCAAAGTGGATATAGGTACATGGAATGCTTTACTGTACTTCTCTGATCTAATATTCTAAGTTTAATAGAGAAATATAAAATGTAAATCTTGTTTGATATTGCTTAGTTTGATTTTATTTTCTGTTCAGTTTTGAAACATTTATTTGTAAAACTCATAGTTTTTTTCGTAGCGTAAATAAACTTTTTTGTTTGAGTTTTCATTCATTATTCTATTTCTCTTTCAACATTAACTAAGACTAATGGCAAGGTAATTTTATTTTAAGAGCAATCCTAGTTAAGGCCCTATAATGTCTCTGTGGACTTTATTTTAAATCATCCAACATCCTATCTAGCAAGTTTTTGTGGATACATATATGTCTTACAAATGTCATACAAACTATGAACGAATATATTTACAATAGTTTATTTTATGACATACCTATAATAGGAACAGGCTGTATGTACAAAACTGCCTGGTGGACAGAATCCAAAGAAATTCACGGCATCTAACAGTTATCTTACAAAGCTTAAGGTTTATCATCATAGTTAAAGATGACAAGGATCTGTACACGTAGGACAAGTAAGTACTAATGGAAATCATATTGTAAAAAAAGTAACAAAGGTCTCTTGTCCTGAACATGTTCTACCTTTTAATTGTCTTGACGTGTTGTACAGCAGAGTTTCTACAGATACAGAACCAGTTACCTTCTGTTAGTATATTTAATGATGTACTTCTTACCTCAGGAAAGTTAGGTTCGTACATAATAGTGTTCGGAATCAGTTGATGGTGGATACGTGGGCTATCGATGGCATTCTTGATACTCAACCCTGCCCGCAAGTTTAGGATGCTGACCTAGAGTGTTCAACAATATTACATATAAGGAAGTTACCTTAGACCATATTTTTTAAAACATTAACACACCAACTTTCTTTTTACTGAGATTTGTACTGTCAACAATGTTTCATCAGTTGTAGTATTGCAATATCATCGATGAGTGTGTTGTTTTGACATTAAAGTACATATATATATATTTATGTATAGCTATTTGTCTTTAATTGACGGGTTGCTACATATGTCTATTGCAATGTATTACCGAAAGTAATAGTTTTCAAAAACCAATTTTAATAATAAAATTATAGTGAAAACAGCATTGTTGATTGATATATTTTACTTACTAGTGTAGTTGCTGTTGTAATTTTGGTGCCCCCTGTTCCGCCTATCACGAGCCTGATGTTTCCATTGCCATCAACCACTATTGTCGGAGACATTGAAGAAAAAGGACGTTTTCCAGGGGATATCTTGTTGTACTTTGATGGCACAATGCCATATGCATTGGTAATGTTAGGAGAACTGAAGTCATCCATTTCGTTGTTGAAAACAATTCCAGTTGATATGGAAGCTTTCTTACTCCCAAAGCTGAAAAAAATACTTATTGAATTTTTCATGAAGTGAATGATTTATCAGAACAAAACAATTTAGTTGTACTGGCACAAAATGTATGCAAGTGCAAATACGTTAACTAATTAATACTTAGAATGCGTTGATAGGTGTGATTAAACATAATGCTTATAATGCTACAAACGTCAGAGCCATGATTGCACGCACCAAAACGTATGATTACTTCACAAGTAGGTAAAGACAGGCGTCAAAAATGTAACTAACGATTTAAAAGTAGATGCAAACGTAAGCCTTTAAAATTCAAGGTATAAACAGGTTTACAGTATATAATGTATTTTTATAGTTTTAAGTAAATAATAAAAGGAATAAAATGAAATTGTAACACAATAAAGTATGCTTACTAAGAATTGATGGTACTGGACACAGCAACAGCATCGCCATTAGGAGCAACTATGGAAAGGTGAGAGGTGCCCCAATCTGCTTGGATAAACGGTTCTACTCCGTAATGACTTGGATCAAATGTTTGGTTGTCATAAATATTATTTTTAGTTTCTTTAGCAAATTCCTTAGACGCGAGTTCCTGCACAAGCTGTAAAGATTTATACAGATCTTATTTTTTCCTCAGTTATGTAATAACTTCTATAAATCCACATTACTGAAATATTTTATTCCTGTATACAGAACTAGTTATAAGTAGAATACTCTTTATGTTTATTCAAAAATTTACTAAACAAACACTGCTAGTAATTCACCAGTAAAACGAATATGAGGTTGTTTTTTTTTAATAACTGTGGTTTTAAAATAACAACTAATAAGGTCCCGGGTAATAACATTCATAAAAATTTATAACTGAGTAAAATAAAAAAAATTAAACTAATAATTTACTTTCATATATAACAAATATTTTAATAAGCAGAATAGGAAGTAAATAACGTTACAAAACATTCTTCGGTTTGGGGTTAGTTTTGTTTATAGTTTTATACAGTCATGACTCTTTTTTTTTTATTTTGTTGTTATTTTCCGCAAGTTTTATGTTGATAAACAGGTAGAATATTATCGTTTAAATTAAGAATAAGTTTTTACTAAGTATCAGAACAACTAATTAAGATAAAATAGTAATGAAGTATCTAACCTTATAAATTCATTTACTTTTTCATGAAAATGCTAAAGTAAAACCAAAATTGAAATCAATGTTTCTTATTCTTTAAACATTTTTTTTCGAATTCCTAAAATAACTCTATCTACAATATATTATCTTTAGTACTGCTTTATTTGTCCTTAAAATGAATTAAACTGAAAGCAAATATTAGATGTTACCCTGTACATTTGCACGTAGCTGTTATAAAAAAAATATAGTACGTAAAAGAAAAACATATGCTCACTTATAAAACAAACAAGTTTTTAAAACATTCTTAACATTCTTGCTACCTTACTAATGCGTTCATACTGAGATGAGGATGCATCAACTCCTGGATCCTCAAGCTCTGTTCGTTTAGCATAAGCATACTTAAAAGCTTCAATCATTCGATGATAGTTTTGTACTTTTTTATTATTAGTTGAGAAGCTTGTTTCATTAAATCCATACTCATCCAAGGTGTTAATCATATAGCTGAGTAAAGCTCCACTTCCAGGTGGAGGAACACCATAGAATGTTAGATTATCATGGGATTGTGTTTGTAAACCGCTGATAAGAAAAAAAATTCCCCTTATCTCAAATTCTTACAAATGTTGTTGATCTGAACACAATATCTCCTAGTAATCATTTCAATGCACAAAAAAACACGAACTTTTGACAACAGTCTGCTAACAGTGGCAAATGTTGTTCAACCTGACACGTCGAGTTACGGTCATTTATCGAGGTTAATTGGGTTCAAAATGGCCCGCCTAGTTTAGTTTTTTTAATCGAGGTTAAATTGGTTCTAAATGACACATCTAGTTAAGTTTTTTTTTTTATCGAGGTTAAATGTTGTTCAACCTGACACGTAGAGTTAAGGTTGTTTATCGAGGTTAATTGGGTTTAAAATGGCACGCCTAGTTTAGTTTTTTTATCGAGGTTAAATGTTGTCCAACCTGACACGTAGAGTTAAGGTTGTTTATCGTGGTTAAATGTTGTTCATCCTGACACGTACAGTTAAGATTGTTTATCGTGGTTAAATGTTGTTCATCCTGACACGTAGAGTTAAGGTTGTTTATCGAGATTAAAGGTGGTTCAATCTGATATCAGGTGGCAATTCTAGTAAAGTGACTGTTAGTGTAGAATAATGTGCTAATATGATTAAATCACATGAATAATTCTCCTCATTTACAGGAGGAATTGTCACAGCAGAAGACTTTATGAACTACAAACCACAATGGCAGAAACCAACTGTAACTGATAGAGACTCCATCATTTCCTAATGAACCAAGTGCTGACAAAACATAAAAATGACCCATAACTCCTGAAGATGTTTTGTTGTTGTTTAGTAACTAAGGTTTGGAGTTCTGGTACCGCTGGCAGATATATTTCTGGATCATACATTTATAGTTTGAAGTCGTTAATTTCTGACTCATCAAACAAATTCTTTAACAAACTACTTGTTGTTTTTTTTTGTTTGTTTTATGTTTCTAGAGCAAAACACAAAAATAGTTCACAATTGTGATTTATGACCAAGTGTTTGACCATTAGTTTGCCTTTTTGAACCTAAATATGACGACTATCAAGAATTTAATTTTTCGAACACGGTCTTAGGCAGCTTCTTGTCATATTTGGAAGAGGGGGCTTATTGTGCTACATGTTAACTAACTTCAGCAACTATTTGTTCCTTAAGTCTTAGCTGTATATTAATTATATTATTAAAAATTCCAAAATCACTAAGTGACTACTATTAGAGTTTGCATCAAATGTCCATATGTTCGTCATATTTTTTAATTTTAATCCACAGTTAATTTCCAATATTTAGTTATTAAAATTGTTTACTTAAATGTGTGTTTTTGGTACATTGACGTGATACATGATGAAGAAAATAGTATTTGTTAAAACTGTAAAACGTGAATCTTTTTTTTTAAACTAATCAGGTTAAGGTAGCATATATATTTATATCAATAAAAAGGTACAAACAAAATGGAAAATGGCCAAAATTTCCTTTATCAGGTATGTTAACGGATTTCTAGCATTAGCTGTTATCTAAGTTTTTACATGTAAGGTTTCTGAATAAACATTTAAATTTTTTAATGAAAACTTGCTCAAACATGTAATGTATTTGTGTTTTAAAACTTTACAACGAGTGTTTATCGTTTACAGGTTTGTATTGCTGTTTCTGCCAGTATTCTACGTTCATTGCTGTGTGTTACCATTATTATGTGCGCTGTAATTTTATTGCCACGAACTTAATTTACAGATTTGTTCTATATTCTCTTGAGCTTTTAAATATGTCTATACTTCCTCATTCCGTACGTACTTTGTTTTCACTTTTTAACTGAATCTTACTAATCTGTATACAATCTTTACGCTAGTCTTTCTTTACTACCTTTTGGGCCAATACAGACAAACTTTGTGAAGCAGTTGTTTTGATTAAAGTAAACTAATTTGTTTAAGTCTTTTTCAACTTTAAAAGAATATTTTTTATGTTTTATTGATTAAATAATTGTACTGTGGTACCTATGTATGCACACTTTGTTTAAATAAACGTGTTATTTTAACTTCCAACCCAATTAAGTTTCTCTTTTTCACTTTTCTAACACACAGAGTTAATCTTCACTGTTTTTTCTTTCTTCTTAGAATTAACTTATTACAAGCTTATAGTGAGCGTATGCTTATGTAATCTCAGTTCTGTTAAAAGAAAATTGTTGGTACTTTCTTTAAAGGATGGTAAGTGTTAAACATACAGGACTGTTTAAGGTAATAAATAATGTTATGATTTAAATGGCTTAAGTATAGCGCGAGTGTTAAGTTTACTTATTTTTTGAAGAAATGGTTTATCGCAGATTTGTTTACGTAACTGTTTTCAAGCCATACGTTATGTAGTTCAATTGTTGTGAATTGCCGATTGTTGAATTATTGCGTCATTTTACTAGGACCTTCTAAGTTTTTCTAGTTGTTTTAATTGAGTATTATTGCATCATAACATCTTGTAGTGTGTAGAACGTTTTAGGTTTCAGTCAGGCTATAAATACGCGCACAAAATGTAGTTATACAGTTAGATAGATAGCTAGATCTAAATTGTTTGATTATGAGATTAGGCATAAGGGTAGATAGTAGCTGTTTCTGAAGTGAATTATCACAGATTATATTGTAATAATAATAATATGTAGAAGAAATAATATGTCTTGACATTTGTGTTCTAAAGTAACTGAACCAACCTGTGTGGACTTT